ATTTGATATTTGCCCGAGCCCATTAAGGAGACAAACAAGAAAGGACTCTAGTGAAGGTAAATTGGAGGAAAGGTCAACAGGTAGTAACTCTTTCTCTCATATACTTATGCAATTGTTCTGCATGTCTGTTTATGCCATAGTGCCTATATTCCTTAATAAATATATGGTGGTTTTAATTGGGTTCGTGTTTGGTGCTCATCAGGTGATGAGCACTCTAATGAGCAATCTGGACAGTCTAGATTTAATATTTTTAAATAATTATTTTAAAATAGAAATAATTTTATTTTTAACGAATGATAGTTAAGAGATTATCTTTATTTTTTTATCTTATACCTATTAAAATAATTATTTTAAAAAAAAATAAAAATAAAAAATAAAATTAAATATGGACTGTCTAGATCAGATTTGGATGGTTTAGATCCAATGAGCATTGGGTGCTCATCAAAACTAATAAGCACCCAATGCAAATTCGGTTTTAATTATGGGAGTTGTGTGCTTGATTATGAACAATGGTTTTGATTATGAGAACTGTGAGCTCGATTATGAATGGGATTACAAGAGCTGTGTTCTTGATTATGAATAGTGGCTTTGATTACAGGAGTTATGTTCTTGGTTATGAATTGTGGTTTTGATCACAGGAGTTGTGTATTTGATTATGAATTGTGGTTTTGATTACAGGATCCATGTGCTCAATTATGAATTGTGGTATTGATTATGGGATCTGTGTGCTTGATTATGAATTATGGTATTGATTATGAAAATTGTGTTCTCGATTATGAATGGGATTATGGGAGCTGTGTGCTCAATCATGAATGGTGGTTTTGGTTACTTGAGCTGTGTGCTCGATTATGAATGGTGGTTTTAATTATGAGAGCGTTGTGCTTAATATTGACTGGTGGTTTTGATTACTAGAGCTATGTGGTTGATTATGAGTAGTGGTTCTGATTACGGGATCTGTGTGCCCAATTATAAATGGTGGTTTTGACTACAGGAGCTGTGTGCTCAACTATAAATGATGGGAACTGGAAATCTCTGTGGATACTTGAACTGTGTGTTTCCTTGAACTTGTATTATGTGTCAATACTAGAACTGCGTGTTCCCTCAAACTCATATTCTGTGTGAATACTGGAATTGTGTGCTCCCTAAAACTCATATTCTGTGTAAACACTGAAACTGTGTGTTCCCTCAAACTCGTATTTTGTGTGAGTACTAGAACTGAGTGATCCATGATGGACTGTATATACTGTGTGAACCTTACTAGTTATGTTGATCTACTAAACGCTTATTATATGGCTTGTTTTGCATGCTTTGTAAACTTGTATACGTGTATGATAGACTGTTATTACTACTAAGATTCTTAGAATCTCACCCCTTTCCTTCCACGACATACAGCAAAGACAAGTGGCTCGAAGGGCAAGAGTATAGTGATTGCAAGGAATTGAGAAAGTTGAAAGAAGTTATTTGTACAGTTGGTTGTCGCTTTATACTTTTGTAGTTTGAACTTATAATTTTTTATTAGCCAAGTATGCCTACCACTTTGTGTATATAAATATGTAGATATGAAGTTATATGAAACTTATGGAATGTAAATTCCTCTGTAAGTAGGAAACTATGGCTCTTGAAGTCAATAAAATGCCATATACTTTAATGGCTATGGAGTGGTAGGTTAGTAATATTGTTAACTTGCTATATTATCAAACCCTATATGTTGGAAAGTTTTTTAAAAAAAAAAATTTCTGCAAGAGGATTATATTTCCAACACATAAAAAATTAAGGTATTACAATTTGCCATAGATGATCCTACAGGGAGACATCCCTATAGGAGTCTTGAATGCAGTCCTATAGGCCCACAAGGCCTCCTCAAGTTGTAGGCTCCAATCTTTCTTAGAGGGCTTAACAATCTTTTCTAAGATGTGTTTGATTTCTCTATTTGATACCTCAGCTTATCCATTGGTTTGTGGGTTGGTAAGCTGTGGAAACCTTATGAGTAACCCTGAATTTAGCAAGGAGCTTATCCAAGGTTTTGTTACAGAAGTAGGTTCCCCTGTCACTTACTACTGCTCTTGGTACTTCAAACCTACAAAAGATGTTAGTTTTAAGGAATTTGGATACTGTTTGAGCATCATCCTTTCTTGTAGGGATGACTTCAACCCATCTAGATAAGTAATGAACAGCCAACAAAATGCAAGTAAAAACAAAAAAAGTGGGAAATGGACCCATGAAGTTAATACCCCATACATCAAAGATCTCACAGAATAGCATAGTCTGCTGTGGCATCTCATGCTTCTTACTCAAGCCTCCAAACCTTGGGCATTTATCACATGCTTTACAAAAAGAGTAAGAATCTTTAAATAGGAAAGGCCAATAAAGACCAGCATTTAAGACTTTTCTAGAAGTATTCTTGGCAATAAAATAGCCACCGCAAACTGAGGCATGGCATGTTGAGAGTATATACTCACTCTCGCTCTCTGGTACATATCTCCTGATTATTTGGTTGCTGCAAATCGTCCAAAGGTGAGGCTCATCCCAAACATAATATTGGGCCTCTCTTTTTAATTTTTGCACCTGGAAAGGAGGCATAAAGTAAGGGACTATATTTGTGACCAAGTAATTTACTATGTGACCAAGGCTCTTTAAGAGCTAAAGCAAAGAGAGTAGAATCAGGGAAATCATCACAAATTAAATCAGAAACATCTACTTTCCTTGCTAAATCTGGAAGTCTGCTTAAATGGTTAACTACAAGATTTTCTGGCCCTGCTCAATCTCTGATTTCTACATCAAACTCTTGCATAAGCAGCATCCATCTTATCAACCTAGGTTTAGATGGAGGTTTCTTAAATAGATATCTCACAGTTGTATGATCTGTAAAAATCACAACCTTAGAATTTATTAGATATGCTCTAAATTTATTAAGGACAAACACAATAGCATATAGTTCCTTCTCTATGGTCATGTAATTAACCTGTGCAACATCTAAGGTTTTAGACGCATAAGCAATAACCTTAGGCATCTTACCTTTCGTTTGCCTGACATAGCGGGCTCCTCTATTGTATATAAATACCCAATCGAAGTATCAATAAAATACACAATTTTCATTCTCTAAATTACATGGTACCAGAGCCAGTTTACTAGGGTTAAAAGAAACATTTTTTTCTGGCCTCCAGCGTCCGTCACTGTTCACCAGCGTCCGTACACTGTTCACACGGCTACCACAACGATCAGCTTTCCAGCCTCTATAGTGCACACGCGCCGGCCAGAGGAGGTCGCAGGGGTCTGATCGGCCAGCCACCGGAGTCTCATCGTCGTCTGAGCAGCGCGTGGCCTTCACCCGCCGTCACCTTGCGCGGGTATTGTTCACGCGCCATCACGTTTTGCAGCATTTTCTGGCATCTTCTTTCATTTTTTGGCGTCATCTGGTGTTTTCCGACCCATCCCTGCTGCTTCTACTTTCTGGGTCCCATTGTTTGTTGTGATTCAGAGCCATTTTGGCTTTCTGAGCAAGCGTTGACACTCTGGTTTGTGGCATTCTGATCTATTTTTTATTCTGTGGTCCCTAGTGTGATCCACTTGGCTGATTAGTAGTTTTGTGATAATTATTATCCTAATGGGTGATAACAAGTCTGTTGTTTCTGAGGTGGTTCCAGTAGTCACTAAGATTACTGAACACAAACTAACTTGAAAAAATTATCTGGATTGGAGTAAGACTATTCGTATTTATTTTCGGAGCTTTGAGAAGGAAGATCACTTGACTGACAATCCTTCTGATGAAAAGGATGCCTCTCACAAGTCATGGTTAAGAGATGATGCACGGCTTCTGTTACAACTTTGTAACTCTATTGACAGTGAGATCATGCCTTCTATTACTCATTGTGAATTTGTTAAAGAGCTAATGGATTATTTGGCACTCTTATACTCAGGAAAGAACAACATCTCTCGTATGTACGAGGTTTGTAGATCGTTCTATCGGTCTGAGATGCCAGTTGACCGTTCCCTCACAAATTTCTTTATGGATTTTAAAAGCACCTATGAAGAGCTCAATGTTCTTATGCCTATTTCTGATGACAGGAAAGTTAATGTGTCTCATCGCGAGCAGATGGCCACCATGAGTTTTCTGACTACATTGCCATCTCAATATGTGGCAGCTCGATCACAAATTTTGTCGGGAGCTGACATCCCCTCTCTTGAAGAAGCTTTCTCTCGTGTATTGAGAACTGAACAAAACCCTTCCTCAGCTCCCATTCCACCTACTAGTGCATTACTCAGTCGAGGCTAAAATGACAATCGAGGGCTCCCTAGTCGTAGTGGTCCGAAACCAAGAGGTGGTAATCAGGAGCCCAAGGAAGTGATATGTTATTACTGCAAGGAACCGGGACATACTAAATGCACATGTCATAAGCTGCAAAACAAACAACAACGACAAAGCTCTGCCCATGTGGCCACAACAACCAGTGACATGGTTACTATCTCAGCTACCGAGTATGCTCAATTGAAATCTGCAAATCCCCCCGTGAGCACTGCTAGTGCAACAGGTAATGAGGCTACTGCCCTTGTCTCTTCTTCCTCCAAATGGATCATAGACTCTGGTGCTACTGACCACATGACAAGTAACCGTCATCTCTTCTCTAGCTATAATTCTTATGCCAACCCTTCTGCTATCACCATTGCGGATGGTTCCCACTCTCATGTCCTTGGATCTGGATCTGTTAAACCTACTCCTTCTATTCATTTAAAATCTGTACTCAATGTCCCAAATCTTGCTTTTAACCTTTTGTCCCCTAGCAAGCTTACTCGCCAATTAAATTGTTGGGTCTCACTTTTTCCTGACCATTGCTTGATACAGGATCTTTTGACGAAAAAGATTATTGGTAGGGGCTACGAATCTAGCGGACATTACTTCCTTGATGATCAGGGGTCTCGTGCGGTGGCTTGTACTGGTGGTGTCACTCCATTTGAAGCACATTGTCATTTGGGTCATTTATCTTTATCTTCTTTAAAAAAGGTTTATCCTTAGTTTCAGCATTTGTCGTCTTTAGATTGTGAGTCGTGTCAGTTTGCTAAACATCATCGTCTATCGTTAGTGTCTAGAGTCAATAAACGGGCTTCGTCCCCCTTTGAGTTAGTGCACTCGATATTTGGGGTCCGTGTCTAGTTGAGTCCAAAGGTGGTTTTAAATATTTTGTCACATTTGTTGATGATTATTCCCATACCACTTGGCTATATTTAATGAAAAATCGTTCTGAGCTTTTCTCTCACTTTTGTACTTTTGTTGCCGAAATTAAAACTCAATTCAATACGCTTGTCCACACCTTGCGTAGTGATAATGCTAAAGAATATTTTTCTGAATCCTTTCGCTCTTTTATGCTTCAACATGGCATTCTTCATCAATCTTCCTGTGTGGATACACCGGCTTAGAATGGTGTGGCCGAAAGAAAAAATCGTCACTTATTAGAGGTGGCCCGTGCACTTTTATTTCAAATGCAGGTTCCAAAACCATTCTGGGCAGATGCAGTCTCCACAGCTTGTTTTATTATTAATCGCATGCCCTCCTCTGTCCTTGATGGTAACATTCCCTACACCACTCTCTTTCCTTCCAAAGCTTTGTTCCTTATTGATCCTAAGATCTTTGGCTGTGTTTGTTTTGTTCGAGATGTGCGTCCCATGGTCTCCAAATTGGACCCCAAGTCTCTTAAATGTGTCTTTCTTGGCTACTCTCGAGTTCAAAAGGGTTATCGATGTTTTTCTCCTACTTTGAATCGTTATTTGGTTTCAGCCGATGTCACTTTTCAGGAATCTGTTGCCTACTTTGCATCTAATGCTTCCGCTTCACCTTCTCCACCGGCGGAGGAGGATACCTTTCTGGTATATTCTGTTAGTCCAAGCTTACCACCAGCACCAGCTCCTGTACTGGCACCTGGTCAACCATCTTTGTCTTGGGTCTACACCAGACGTTTGAAGAAAACTACTCCTACTGTAGCTCCACCATTATCTGCTTCGTCATCTGATCCTGCAGCAAGCATCATACACCCTGAGCCTGACCCTGCCCCAGGTCTAGATGCCGATCCCTCAATTGACTCTAAGACACCTCCTGTTCCAGCTCCAGATCCCTCTCTTGATTTGCCTATTGCCCTTCATAAAGGTAAACGTACTTGTGCCCATCCTATTTCTTTTTTTGTTTTATATAACCACCTCCCTTCTGTTTCTCATGCCTTTGTTGCCTCTTTAGATACTATTTCAATACCTAAGTCCCTTCATAAAGCCTTGTCCCACCCGGGTTGGCATACTGCTATGGAAGAAGAGATGGCGGCCCTTCATTGTGCTGGCACATGGACCTTAGTAGATTTACCAACAGGAAAGAAAGCTATTGGGTGTAAGTGGGTGTTGACCCCTAAAGTTAAGGCGGATGGTACACTTGAACGCCTCAAGGCTCGCCTTGTCGCAAAAGGCTATGCTCAAAAGTATGGTATTGACTACTCTAAGACTTTTTCTCCCGTGGCCAAGCTCTCTTCTGTTCGTCTGTTTATCTCCATGGCTGCTACCTATAGTTGGGATCTCCATCAATTAGATATCAAAAATGCATTCTTGAACGGTGATCTCCTTGAAGAAGTGTATATGGAGCAACCACCAGGTTTTGTTGCTCAGGGGGAGCGTGGGAAGGTGTGTCGCCTTAAGAAATCACTCTATGGCTTAAAACAAAGTCCTCGGGCATGGTTTGATAGATTTAGTACTGTTGTGAAAAACTTTGGCCTGCACCAAAGTAAGTGTGATCATTATGTGTTCTATCAGCAAACAAGTGCTGGCATCATTCTACTGGTTGTGTATGTCGATGACATTGTGATTACAGGAAACAATGCCTCGGGGATCTCATCTCTCAAGTCGTTCCTTAACTCACATTTCCAAACGAAGGATCTGGGTTCATTGAAGTATTTTCTGGGAATTGAAGTCATGAGGAGCAAGAAAGGCATCTTATTGACTCAGAGAAAGTATGTTCTTGATCTGCTGAAAGAAACTGGAAAACTAGGGGCTGCCTCGACCAGCTTCCCTATGGTCTATAATCCTCTGCTTGATGCTGATGGTAGCATACCATGTGAAAATCCTGATGAGGCTGCTAAGAGCAAGCCATTTGAAAATCCAGAGAGGTATAGGAGACTGATTGGGAAGTTGAATTACCTTACAGTGACCCGTCCTGATATCACCTATCCAGTAAGTGTCCTTAGCCAATTTATGGTTGCGCCAACTGTCCGACAATGGAAAGCCTTAGAGCATGTGTTACACTACTTGAAGGGATCCCCGGGTTGTGGGATATTGTACAAGAATCATGGTCACACAGACATTGAGTGCTTTTGTGATGCTGATCATGGTGGGTCAAAAGCCACGAGACGATCGACTACAGGATACTGTGTTTTTGTAGGAGGCAACTTGGTGTCCTGGAAAAGCAAGAAACAGAATGTGGTGTCACGATTGAGTGCAGAAGCGGAATACAGAGCCATGGCGCAATCTGTATGTGAGATAGTTTGGATATATCAGCTACTAAAAGAGGTTGGTCTTAAAACCTCGTTACCAGCAAAGCTGTGGTGTGATAATAAAGCAGCCCTACACATAGCTTCGAATTCGGTCTTTCATGAACGAATGAAACATATTGAGATTGACTGTCATTTCATCCGAGACAAGCTCAAGGAAAACTTCATCTCTACAGGACATGTCAGATCCAGCGACCAGTTGGGTATCTTCTCACCAAAGCTCTCAATGGGTTCGAGTTGAATATCTTTGTAACAAGTTGGGCATGATTGACATCTATGCTCCAACTTGAGGGGGAGTGTAGAGATATTATAGGAGATATTATAAGATATGTAAATATCCTATTAGTATATAGGATATGATGTGATATGATTTCATATTAATGAGCCATTAATACCTAGGCTCCTCTATTGTATATAAATACCCAATCGAAGTATCAATAAAATACACAATTTTCATTCTCTAAATTACACAAAACAAGGTTTTTCTCTATGTATATGGCAAGAATTTTATCCAAACTACACAAGCATGCATTAAATGATTCACCATACACTATAAAGTCATCCATAAACACATCCATCACTCAAGAAAATCAAAAAAAGATAAAAATCATGCAATGCTTAAATGTGCTTGGGGCGTTACACAACCAAAAAGGCATCCTTTTGTAAGCATATGTGCCAAAAGGGCATATGAAGGTTGTTTTCTCTTGGTCTTCTGGTGCTATAAGAATCTAGAAATATCATGAAAAGCTATCAAGAAAGCAATAGTGAGATTTTCCTGCTAGACATTCAAGCATCTGATCAATAAAAGGTAGGGGAAAGTGATCCTTTCTAGTAGCCCCATTCAATTTCTTATAATCTATGCAAACACGCCATGAGTTTTGCATTCAATTAGGTATTAATTCATTATTCTCATTTTTCACAATAGTGACGCCACTCTTTTTTGGAACAACATGAACAAGGCTAACCCACTCACTATCAGAGATAGGATATATAATACCTGCACTAAGGAGTTTAGTAATTTCCTTTTTCACAACATCTAAAATAAGTGGATTAAGCATTTGTTGAGGTTGCCTAATAGATTTAGAATTTTTATTTAGTAATATCTTGTGAGTAGAAATAGATAAGTTGATTCCAGGTATATCAGCTAAAGTCCAACCTATAGTAGTTTTATTTCTTTTAAGCACATCAATTAATTTGTCCTCTTCATCTAAATTTAAAGCATTTAAAACAATCACTAGCAATTTTTCATTTATATCTAGAAAAGCATACTGCAGATTAAAGGGAAGGGGTTTAAGCTCAAGTTTAGGTGGTTGAACAATAGATGAAATCAAATGAGGGAGTTTAGAGGAATTAGAGATACTCCTTTTTTCATGGAGGAGATGGGCATCCTCCCTTTCTTCAATTTGTCCAATCATAAACTTAATTTTGTCTATAGCTTTATGTATCTTGGATTCCTCTTTGCTCATCAACCATGTTTCCTACATGTATTCATATGTATCTACAGGGATAAGAGAGTCATAAGAAGATGAAAAAGAAAAAGCAGAGGAGTCAGATGAAGAGGATTCAGAAGAAGCGATGAGGTTGAGGTTGAGGAATGACACCTTCTCTTCTTTAGATTCCAACTTCCTTTGGAGCATGTGTGCTAGTGGAGGAACTTGACAAGAGGGATTAGCCATTACTTTAGTTTCCACCAACTCCTTTATACTTGCAAAACTCATGAAAGAACCTTCCTTGGAGTCATCACTTATAAAAGAAGATGAATATGGGGTGGAGAGAAAACTTTCAATTTCAAAGCATACAACACATATCCTCTCATTATCATAAGAACAAGTAGAAAAAGAAGAGGATGGGGAAGAAATGTGATATTTGAGCAAATCATTTAATTCAAAATCATCATATGCTTCTTCAATTGCCAAATCAATAGCATTCATAGCTAATAAAGAGTAGTCTTCATATGAGTGTTTCATTGCTTCATACATGTTAAATGATATTTTCTAATCCCCAACTTCTATGGTGATAGAGCCTTCTTTCATATTAATAACAATACAGGCAGTTCTTAAGAAAGTTCTACCAAGAATTAATATGCTATCATGTGAAGTTTCATTAGTCATATTAAGCACATAAAAATCAATAGGAAAAACTAATTCCTTAACTTGTAGTAGTATATCCTCTAAAATACCATCAGGATACCTAATAGATCTATCAGCAAGCTACAACATCACGCTAGTACTTTTAATACTTTTAATTCCTAAGGTTGAATAAATAGACTTAGGCATAACATTAATAGGTCCTCCTAGTTCTAATAGTGCTTTCTCGATATTAGTTTTTCCAATTGTGTAAGGAATGGTAAAAGATCCAGGATCTTGGCATTTTACAGATAGCCGAGGTTTAAACAAAGCAGACATGTTAGAACTAATCTATACTTTTTTATTATGTTTAAGTTTCTTTTATAAGGACATAGATCCTTAAGAAACTTGGCTTATTTAGGTATGCTTTTGATTAGTTCTAACAGTGGAGTATTAATCTCAACCTTTTTAAATAATTCAAACACCTCTTTGTCTTGTTCCTTTTTAGAAATTCTTTTACGAGTGAGGTAAGAATGAGGAAAGGGAATATCATTGATACTTACCTCTTTTGATGTTGAAGGAATATTGTCATTTTTCTTTTTCTCTATGATTTCTTTTTACTTCAAGCTTTCAGATGCAGGGGTTGAAGGGACATTATCAGTAATACCCTTTTTCACTTTTACAAAGTCTTCAATGGTGTTGTGGGGGCACTTATTGTGGCATCTTTCTCATTGCCATCTTTTTTGAAATTTACCTTCTTACCACTTTTTAAGGTGATGGCATTCAAGGTTTTTAGGTTGATGATAGTATTAGAGGGAATATTGCCTCTATTTTTGGCTTGCGGCTCATTCAATGAGTTTGACGACTGTGTCATATAAGATGCTATATTGTCATATTTAGATTCTAAAGTGGCAATTCTAGCATAAGTCCTTGATTCCATTACAGCTATTCTAGAATCACTATTAGCAAACCCATCCTTCATAGTTTTTATAAAGAGGGCCATCCTATCATCATCTTGAAACATTAATTGGGAATTGTTTTGATTGTTTCCAAATTGTTATAGCTGCCTAGAGTTGGGAGTTTGGTATTACTCTTAACTATTATTTCCCTTTCCATATCTAAGATTAGGATGGTCTCCCCACCCTTCATTATTTCCCTTCCTTGTATTTATTAGGGCGTACACTAGTGACATACAAAGATGAATTACAATAATCACAAATGTCACACCTATGTTTATTACATATGATACCATATTTAGGACTATTTGGAACCATTATCCAAGACTTAAAGGTAAGAAAACTCCATATTTTAAAATTTGGTCCCGAGTTACTATTCACAATTCACTTAAGTTTTTGCAAATTTTGGAAATTAATAACTAATTATAAAAAAAAAATCAAAATGAGATGATTCTAAGCTCTATTTGAAGCTTGTAATATGTTCTTTAAGGGAAAAAAACTCATTGGTATCATATCCTTATGAAATAGAGTCAAGAAATTCACAAAGTTACATTGTTCATTTTGTCATTTTTCAATTTTGAAAGGGCATAACTCTTAGCACAAAACTTCAAATTTAATGACCTACCACTTGATTTAAAGCTAAAAATAAGATCTATAAGTTTGAAAAATCTCAGGTCTAAAATCGATCATTTGCTCATTATTTTATGGGTCCCAAATTTATCTAGTTTTAGGATATTTTTATCCCTAATTTCTTGAATTTTCTTTCCTTTCTATCATGCCCCATCAGACCAACCATATCAAATCCATATTTATGGACAGTACTACAACATTATAATTACATGATCTCAAGTTTACCACATTCATGATCCATTACAAATTCATATCAAAGTTCATATACAACCTAATATTACATAGCCATAAAAGTTACATAACTCCACTATCCCAAGATTAATTCCTTGCTCTTGTCCTTGCTTGATCCACTTGCTAGTTAGTGTATAAGGAATGAGGTTTCATGAAAATCTCAGTAGCAATGAGCCATAATTGTCATGTTAATTATGCTTTACATAATGTGACATGTTTGTGCTTGAAGACATTGTCAAATCATATAGGATTATGTCATGCAATATGCCATGAAAGGAATCAAACACATTCACATTGGTATATCATTATGCATTTGGCCACAGCATATCAAACATCATAAAATGTATCATTACCATAAATAATTCAACCAACATAATGCAAGCAACACATAAATATTAAGCAAGCAAGAAAAAAAATCAAATTATAGATTCAATGCTATCTTTTCAACCTTGATCCAAGTCAGTTTCTTGGGGGTTTAGTATTCTCCTTTGTTCTTCTCCATAAAACCTATCAATTTAAGCATAATTACAAGCCACATTATCAACTATTCAAGCCTGAATACTAGTAATTAACCTTAAACCTACTTAAATCCCTTTTTTCTTTGATTTTTGACATTATTGTTCCTTCTTTGATTCCACCAATCTCTTGGTTTATTCCTACATAATTTTTCATATAGAATCCAAATATGAATTCAGATTTAACAAAATCACACTCCTTCCCCTTCAACTTGCATTAGCCGAATAAGGTCCCCTTTTTGTTCAAAATTTTTAATTTTGATTCCAATGATTCCAAACACTTTTTATTGGTATTCCACTACACAAAAATACCTTTTAAACGTATTGGATAAACATAGCAAAACAAACTCCTACCCCAAGAACTCACTATGACCAAAATGTATACCTAAGGACCCTAACTTGGTTTTCTTTCAAAAATCAATCCAAACACCATTTAAACATGATAATCCTAACTCAATTTCAAGACTTCTATCCTTCCCTAAGTCATGCTCTTCTTGACCAAACATGGACAACACCATAACACTTAAATTTTTAACCAAAATAAGCTTTAAACTTAACCAAAATCAATCTCAAACTTACCTCAATTAATCATTGATCAAAGATTGATGTTTCTCCCTTCATATGCACTGTCTAAGGCTCACTTCTAAGCTCAAAAATTTAGTTTGGCAACACCTCCCCTCTTTTGTCAATTTTTGGCCAACTTAGTGTAATTAGGGGGTCTTTATAGAGTACAAAATCTGACTCCTCCCCCTCCGGTGTGGCACTAGATTTGGCCACCTAAGAGGCATGTGACTGCATCAAAGGCCTCTAATTCATTGATCTTGCCATGTGTCCTTATTCAAGAATATTCCATTGATTTTTAGGTGAAAATTGGGCTTAAATTCCTTTAAATGTTAGGCCATGTTATGCACAAAAATTTTGGGCTTTCTTGGCCCAAAATGATGCCCAATTATGATTTGGAATGATCAAGAGAAATGGCCCAATCATAAAATATCAATTTCAAGCAAAATTGAAGTTTATCGGTTACTATTCACTTGTAACTTTTCATAATTATTCTAGGCCTCCAAAGTCACATTTTTCTTGATGAAAAATCCTATTTTAATATAGGAATGCATTATGAAAAATTTTAGAATTTATATCTACCTCTAACTATTTATTTTGAATTTCCTCCGAAAAAGGACTTTATCGGTAAGACTTTAGAAGTAAATTTCCTAAAATTAATTCCTATACTTTCAAGGCCTAAAATCAATTTTTATAAACTCAATTAAATATTTAAATAATTCTTTCACATTTTTTCTAGAATTATTGAGGCCTCTACATATTTAAAATAATTATTTTTTACTCAATTTTTACTATTTTTTTTGAAAAATCTCTGTTTCCAGGAAATTCTCTAATAAGCTATTTTTATACTATTTCCACCTTCAAAGCTTCAATTAAGCTTCTAAAACCTATAATTTACCTTTTTACCATTTTTTTTAAAGATTTTTCTAGAATTTTTCTAAAGTTTTCTCATTTTGCCCTTTCTAGATCAATAATTCTAAAAATATCAATCCAAACCTTATTTGGGTTTCACATCAAAAGTTGTTTCATCCTTTTGTCTACTTTCTATATTGGCCCACAACTTAATTTTTAACTTTTCATTTCAGGGTTAAATTTTTGGGATATGACAACAACTATGTGCTGAAAGTTCATGAGAAAGGGTGGATTGAGGGACATTATAAGATAAATTCTTTTGCATATTTATGACTACAGTAGTCAAAGTGGCCAACTGCTTAGCGACGCTACTCATGTCAGGATTTTGCTTAGATGATACAAGCAACTGACTTACTAATTTACCATCATGAGCTTTAGTGTTGTACTGCTAGCTATTCAAGGCTTTTTTTTCCTAAGATTCTCTAAGCCTCTGGCACAGTAAGGTCTAAAAGAGAACCTCCAGCTGTGGCATCTATAGTAGCATGTTATTACCTAATAATCCCTCATAGAAGTATTCAATCAACTTTTCATTAGGGATGTTGTGATAGGGGTACTTTCTCAATAGCTCTTAGAATCTACTCCAAAACTCATAGAAGGTTTCCTGGGTCTCCTACTTTACTAAGTATATTTGCTTTCTTAGGTTTTGTAGTTCGTGAGGCAGGAAAGAATCTTCCCAAGAATGCCTTATTCGGGTCGGGCCATGAAGTGAATGTGTTGGCAAGGTGGTGTGGTATTCTTCGGTTCCAATCTCAAGCTTTTCCTTCTAGAGTTAGGTGAACCGCCCTCCAAAGGACTTCTTCTATTAGCCCCTACGGGTTTTGTGGTGGCACAGTTCATCATTAAGTTTTCTAATTACTCGTGCTAATCATCACCTGCCAAATGATGAAACTTGGGCAAATTGATTAAAGGAGGGCCACAGATTTCAAAATCAAATTCAAAGTTAGGGTAAGCAGCATGCATAGGGTTATAATGACCTATAGAATAATTCATTTCCTTAATGCTACGTAACCTATTCTCACCATGCCCTTTATAGTTAGGCCTATCTTCTTCCTTAGGTATATTGCTATTAAGGTTAGGGTCAAGGTTACCTCCAGGTGTAACTTCAACCATTATGTTATTTATTCGATTATACTTAGGGCTAGTAGGGATAGTTTCATAGTAAGAACTACTAGAAGAACTAGAGTCACTACTTTGGATAGTTGCACTAGACCTACTAGGTGGGGTAATCTGTTCAATTCTTTGCAAAATATTCTTTCTCTAAAGACTAAAATTTCTTTCAGGTTTAGGATCGATAGGCATAAAGCTTTTGTCTCTAGTCATGCATAGAAAATCATAGATAGATAGATTTTAAAAATAGCATAGCTTTGAAAATCATGCAAAAAGCAACTTTAAAAGAGTTCAAAAAGGGATTGACTCCTCGGTAACGATGCCAAAATTTGATCGTACTTGTTGCTAGCGCTTCAAATAATTTACGAGTATTAACCCTATATGGTATAGGAGCTAACCCTAGGTCGGTCTCTCGAGGAGTCAAAGCTTGGCTTTAAAACAACTTTTAGGTTGAGTTACATGATTAAAGAGGAATAAGGAGTAGAAGAGAATGTTGATTTTAAATTAAGGTGAAAAGAAAGTAATGAGAACATAAAAATAAGAGATAATGAATAAGGAAAACTTTACTAATAAGATGATCTTCCCAAGGATTGATATGTGGCTATCTCGATCCAAAAGTTAATAAGAGTTGATAAATAGAAGAGTACTAAGTCAAAATATAAACCCTAGGTAAACACGTAGGTCATAACTATTTAATTAATATTTATACCTAGAACTAGTATATAAATATCAACTAAATAATTACTTTCAGAACAACTTAGCATGTCAAATTCAATTCTGATTATAATTTGTTCGTCAAAACGAGAATATTCAAACAATATGTTCTTTAAAAGTAAGCTAGCTAGCACTAAACTTAATTCATAATTACTCATGCAACCATAAAAATAACATATTAGAATAACATGAAATAATCATGAGGGTAAAAAAGATTTATAAATAAGCTCACAAATTATAACTGAAAAAGAAATTCATATTAATAATCAAAGGAGCCATATATAAGAGTTTCAAAACCTAGAACTAGGAAATCATAAAAACTTGCATATGAAAGATTAAAAATACTAGTTACAACTTATCCAGGTTAAAGCATGGGACTCAAGCCACAACATCTCTCCTCAAGAACAAAGAGACTAGCCACTCATGTGACTAGAACGCATCATATTGATAAAGAAAGAAAACAAAAGTATAAAGATGAAAATACAGAGAATTTGACACCTTAGTTTATGCTTGTGAGAAATGTAGAGAGTGAGTAAAGAAGACGTGTCCTACTCCTTGCCCTCGGACCTCCTTTTTGTAGTCTTGGCTGACCCTCTCCACACCTTCTTTTGGGATAAAAGTTCAATCCATCTTTATTAAATTTACTTTATCTTGGACTCTCGATCTTTAAATGATTTAGCCTCCTCATACCTTCCTTAATTGTCCTACAATTATCTTCATACAATTCAAATAAATCCTAGATAATCTATTTAAATATTACATATTTTGAATAAATTATCCTATACAAATAATCTAAGATAATCACCTAGGAACTAGTGTCATATATAAAATATGGATGGAGAAAAAATGGAGAGAATGGCGTGCTCAATAGGGAGGATAGGATAAGATATGATAGTAATAATAGTCATCGAAAAATGTCAAAAGAATTGGATAGAAGAGGATAGGATTTTTATCTCTTGACTTCGCTTGGAAAATAAGTCATCAAATTAATATTTGAATTAATATAAAAGATGACTTAAGTTGACTTTAGTTAAGATTTATGATAATGGAAAGCTTAGTTGGCACAATGTGAGTGGAAGTAGGAGGGATTTAAGATAATTCAAATAATTGAAAAGGAAGCCTTGGAGAGAAAGTAAAGGGATTTAGTAGGAGTTTTAACTTATTCAAATATGGATTTGGGAAGATAATTAATTTAAAGAAGATATTTTAGGTTATTCTCCAACTATATATTAACAATTCCTCCTTTAATTAATTTTACAATCTCAAAATTGCCCTTCATTAATGAGGTGGAACTTTCTTTGACTTAATGAGAAAGAAAATCTTATGAAATCACCTTCCTACCCTTCATTAATGGTAAGCCACGTTTTTGAATAATAGGGCTATGAAAGAGATGCTATTTGGGCTTAAATGGAGGTGTTAAGGCCTATTTAAGAGGTATAAGTGGTAAGTTAACATGTATGGGCCCTAACTCTGTTGTAAGTTGGCCCAGATGTATCCTTAAGGTCCTAAAATATATTGTTTCTTCAACACCTACGTTTTCTTTCAATCCATTTGGGCTCCAAAGCCCACCTTCCTTGATGCTTTATCACCTTGCAATGGTATCTTGGGCCTAGCTTAGATGAAAAGTTCCTAATTATCCTGAAACACATAAGAAAGTAGAAATAGCTTCATGTGAATTAGTTTAACAAAGAAAATAACAATTATACCCATTTTAGCATTTATTTATATAATTTCTTGTTAGCTCAAATTATTGACAACTATTACAATTAAGCCCTTAAATTATAATAAAATCCCCAAAATATATATACAAATAAATAATAAAATAGGGATATATTGCATATATATATATGGTAATTGTTTGCTACTAAGATCCTTCCAAATCTCATCCTCTCTTAACAAACCCTAATAAATGTTAACGAGAAGCAAGAGGATGCGTGAAGTGAGGGCAAGGAACAAAGAAAAATGTGTTGTACAATGTTATACAACTTGTATGTTAATGTATGATATGAATATGCTATTAATGTTAAATGATGATCATGGCATGCAAGATTAAATATGACGATGTATGGGAAAGAATTATGCAATGATGGCATGATGATGACATAAGAAATAAATGAATATAAATTTATTAATGCAAGTAAGGGGGATAAGTTATCCCTAAATGAGCCACAAATTTGTGACAAAGTAAAAGTAAAGCAAACAATTGAATTTGCTCATGAAATTTGGCATGCTCAAAAAACACATCCTAAGCTTTAAAATAAGTGGTAATCACTTAAAATAGATGAGTGTGCTTAGAGTTATGAGTGCTCAAATTTAGGACTGAGAAACTGGAAAGTACAGTTTTTACCAAATAAATAGTAAACTTCTATGAATTAACAGTATGAATTGAGAAGGGTTAAAACCAAATTTGAATATTTTATCATATAGAGAATTAAAATATCTTTGGATGGAGACTGAGATCATCTCAATATGATTTTTTTATAATTAGTTATAAATTTTCAAAGTTGGACTGAAAATCTAAAATTTACTAGTGAACAGTAACCCAAGAAACAAGTTTCAAAATTTCTATCCAAGGTCTTGTTTCGTGATCCTCTTAAACTGTAATACTTCCAAATATGTACTAAAGGGGGTTGAAGGAAGGATATTTTAGTTATTAGTTTTTTTACTTGTATTTTATTTGGAAGGATAGCATTAGTTTCTCTTGTCTATGCATTTATGCTACTTTTTCAATGTCATTCAGATGCTTTTTCTTTGTTCTTCCTCTTTCCTTCTCACTTTTCTCCTTTATTTTGCCTTTTTTTGATTTTTTTTTTTTGAGTTCCCTTACCCACTGCCTTATTCCTTCTTTTCCCTCTTTTAGTTATGTTCCTCTGCCTTTCTGTTCTTCCTTTATCACCTTCTTTGTTGACCTTTTCTTTTTGTTTCTCTGTCTTTGGTTTTTCTTTGCCTTTTAGTTTTATTGCTATCTGTCTACTGCCTTTTCCTTTGACTTGCTTCTTCTTTAATTTCTGTTGACTCTTTTTTTTTCCTATTGTTAGCATCTCTACTTCTCTTCTTTTCTACTCCTTCCCTCTCTTCTCACTGCCTTTATGTTTCCAAGGAAAAATTTTTGCATTCCCTTTTCACTAACTTTTTCAATGTATTCGCTCACTTCATTGGCTTTAAGGAAACATACAAGGCCTACAAAATAGGCTCAACATGGTCTATTGGAGAAGGAAAAGAGGAAATAAAGGAAGGTTCCCCAAGAAGTTTTTGTTGCTTCGTTCAGTACATGGTTAGTCATTTAGAAGCAGTGGATATGGGTATAGACTTTATGCCCATATTGTCTTCTTAAAAAAGATGTCAATTTGAGGAAGCTATAGTGCAAGAGCTAAGGTTTACAATCAAGAAATCTAAAATCAGGATTCAAGGGGCAAAGAAGTGGTTAACCACAATCCTTCACTAGGGAGTTTCAGCCAGCTGATTTTCAATATTGATGCACATGATGAAGGTTGCTGGTCAGTGCAATTCTTCAAGATTTTCTTTTTGTCTTCACCTTTTTTTGGCAAGAGAGTAGATACTTAGGAAGCCAGAGTTAATGTTAGTGTCTCTTCTTGGTATTCACTAGGCTTTAAATTTTTTAGCTATTGGTTCTTGACTAAGAAACCTAATTGAAGTTTTTTAGCCAATCTCAATTTAATTTAAATCATAGTCTAATGGATTTGATGATTTTATGAATCTATTTGACATCATAATTCTATACATAGACAGAATTTTGAATTTTCTCGAGCCATACGAGGAGAAAACTTCTTATATGTTTCTAGGGGGTGTTTGCTTCAATTATTTGATAGTACAGTTCTCTTGGGAGTACTATAGCTTTGGATTACTATTTGTTCAAGTCTAGTCAGTTTTATGTTTGGTTGTGGTTTCTTAGCTTTTGGTTGTTGTTCTTTTTTGTGACTAGTCAGCTTTTTGGTTAAGTATTGGCTATACTACTTATTCATAGGCACTATTCTGCATTGGTTCTTATGCTAAAATCTTGCACTTTGGTGTATCCTATCAGGGTCTTTTTCAATACCCAAATGGTTATACATGCCCAAGTTTCACCTTTTAGTTGCGTCATTCAATGGCTTATGCTTTGCACAATTTCAAGTGCAATGGATGCTTTTGGTCATCCAAATTCTCTAAAGTTTTGTGCATGGTGGTGCCCTAGCTAGTGTAGTGTCTTGCTCCAAAGAGAGCATCATTCAAGAAGTTGTTTTTGGTTCATCCATCTTGAGCAAGAAGCATGTTAACTTCTCACATTTGCTAGCCAAGTTGGAAGTTCAAGCTTACTCTTGCTGCATGATCCTTACTAGTTTTCTGTTTTAATTGGTTTTTATGGTTGCACCTTGTATTTCACTTTTTGCTTTGTCTTCTCTAGCTTCTATTTGTTGTTGTCTATCCTATTGGGTTGGCTACTTTCTATGGGTTTCTTGGGCTTAGTTTAAATGTGCCTATTATGATGGGCTAGCCTTTTTTGGATGTAATCTTTTTATGTTGTTTTAATTAGTTTTTACAGTTGCATCTTGGTAGTCAACATGGTTTGTTTGCTGCATTATGCTGTCTTAATTTTTTCGGCTATTACTGATTTTGAGAAGATTGAATTTTGATAGTTTAAATTTAATATCCTACTTGAGATGTTAATAATTTTTTAAAGAAAATATTTAAATTTTCATTTAAATTAAATGAAACCAAATTTTCGTAGAAATGAGGAAGACAGCAAATAAAGAGAATTATATGTCAGTGGCAATGATTCTCAGAAGAGTAGAAGAAAAAGAAATGAACCAGAATGTTATACACAATATCTTCAAATTTCATTGGTCACTGATTTCTCTAATAATACACTGAAGACTCATGAGTATAATTTGCACTCCCAAAAACTCAAGCCAAAGACAACAATAATGGTTTTTGTAAAGTGATGATTAATTTTACTTTCTCTCGGATGCATTTAAAAACAAAATAATGTATTTGATATTGTTCTGTATTAATATATGAATGGATTGATGACGAGAAGTATTAAGTGATGCCTTAATTGAAGTGGTGCCTCTTAAACCATTATATCCCTTCAATCAAAAAGTCATAACTAAATGTTGTTGTATGAATGATATATTTTTAA